ACTGTAGACTGCAATAATTCGACATTTAAAACAATCTACGTTGCATTGAACTTTATAAAGTCAGATATTGTGTATATTTATGTACAAACTTTAGCTCATATATTTGTCATCTCTTGACCGATTTGAGGTTTAATTACAGTTTTGGACTCAATAGGTCAAACCCTTTTGATTGATGTATTTACCACGCCCAAAATCTTATACATCATTTTACTCTAATCCTACCTAAAAGAATTTTATTTTGAGAGTAGGCTGGTAGAGATCCTGATGAGTAATAAAATCGAATCGGTTATACGCGCGCCTCACGCTTGGTATTGCCGGCACACAAAAATATAGCTAATAGAAAAGGGAAAAAGATCGCATAGATTAATTTATTGTTATTTTGCCACAGCTATTAGGATTCCCTCTTTTTTGTGAGACAAAAAAAGCATAAGAAAGCTGAAATATTCAGAGTTATTCTTCTGGTTAAGTCGGAGTTACAAAAGTCTAATAAAGGAACAAAAAAGTTTTATTTTCACTATACTTAGAAGCAATTAATCAAATGATGCGTTTAGTAAAGCTTATTGAACATTTTAATTCAAAGTGTGATCTTATTAGTAAAATAGAACCTGTTGAGGAGATAGTTCCTTATCTGATTACATCTATACAATTTTAAGAAAATATTGTTTTCGTTAGAATTACTTTGTGAAAACCTGTCACTGAACCATAAAATAACGTAAATTGTACAAAATATGGAATTCAGAGTTGGATACCATATATTAAAACGATTTTAAATGTTGAAATCAACAAGTCACGTGAGAATCACAGTACAGGTTGGAACAAAGTGTATCAGAACTATGTTTTGGCTTTGACTGGAAATGCCTTTTCCGACACAAAATGTTCGTTCATTTACATCATAAAAATGTGTTCAGTTCAGAAATGTGTAATATTCAAGATGGGGGAAGTCACTTGTGGATCAATTTGAACCTGAGGACTATTCAGAAAAAAGACCTGCAACAAGTCGCACACAAGCTGTGGTAAGCAAAGTGCAACGTCTTCTAACAGAGATAATTTATGAACACAAAGGTCTGTGACAAACGCCGTCTACGTGCCCCAGGCAACAGTGAGCAACACAATCAAAAATGTTCTGTGTCTGGAACACCGACACAAACTGCTTCTACGACATATCAGTTCAACCTTTGTCGAATAAAAATTATGTCCATGCAATTACACACGAAGCCACACTGATCTAGTTGCCAGACTTAGATCCCATGAATTTCTGTATGATTGAACTGTTGAAACAGGCACTGTGAAGCTGTCATTCTCGTACATTAGATGTATTATCGACAATTACAAATAGGGTGGATTTATTTTGAACATGACAACTTTATGAAGAAGCGTTTTGCATAGGAAACTCAACTAGTCTGCAGGACTATTTTCGGGATTGCGGTCGTCAGATAGAATACGACTGAACATGACGACGTGGCGTGGCTCCAAGATTGTTATAATCTAACGTACTAAATGTTTTATTATAGGTTTCATTATTTACAGTGAAATGCTAGAAAAAAAATGCCCTAAATAACAACATGTTTCTTCACAGTTCTCTGCGTTCTAGAAGTAAAAAAGACATGTCACTGCATAAATAAACGAATATAGGTTTAAACTGAAATCTTACATGTTTAGTTTGCACTGAATTCACAGTGTGGCCAAGTAATACTGTTGATGTCACAAAATAGTTATGTTTGACTATAATGTACATGTTTGGATGATAGCATATTAGGCTATCAGTTCCATACTGAAACACATCAGTTCCAAGCGATATGAGTGGAGTAATGTGAAGGTCCAAAAATTTAATGTCCAATACGATGGGTATTGTCAAATTAGTTATGGATTTTAAGTGCATGGTGTGAATAAATTCTCTATGATCATATTACCTCGAATAACTTTGGAGATTGTCCCTTATGTTTCGTTTATAGTGATCTATTCTATTTGACTAATAACGTGCTATAACAAGTATACACCACAGATGTTAGTACATTGGACTGTGGATCAGTGTTTTATAAACTAAGATGTTTTTTAGTTTTTGTAAATAGTTATATTGGTGTATTTTGTTAAATAAATGTTTCTGTATGTGATACTTGTTAAGTCTGTTATTTTACTTACATATATTAATGATAGAACATTAAGCTATGATGAACCATGAGTTTTATACAAGAAATTTATATATATGGAAACTTGAATTACATGTTCAAAAATACTTTTAGAAAATGATATTCATGGGATGTAATTTATCATAAAAGACTAAGCTATACGCATACTTTCCTAGCATTTGATCTTTAACCTGAACCGAGTAGAATTAAGTTACTATTTGTTCGTGAATTATCAACATGAGGTGAGAATAAGTTATATTTCCCGAATATTTGTAGACTGACCCAATCCGAATTTTCGACCAATTGGTGTAGGTCAAGCACATTTGAATCTTAGTGAGTGTTAACCGTAAAATGCTTTTGTTGTAAAGTACAATGAACTTAGCGAAATACAAGAACTGTGCACTAACTTTTTCATTTATAAACTATATTAAAAATCTTACATACTGAAATGTGCAAAAATTGTATGAAAGCTATGTTAAACGGAATAAAACTAAACAGTCCAGTATTTTATAAAGTAAGATGTTTCAATACTTGTTATATCTGTGATTTTACTTACATGTATTAACAATATCTGCTTAAATCATATCTGTGCTCTGTTCACTACGGATTTAAACAGGATAAAACTAAACAGTCCAGTATTTTATAAAGTAAGATGTTTGTAGTTTTCATAAATAGTATATTAGTGTATCCAATGCTTGACGTTTTGTTAATACATGTTTCAGTGTGTGTGATACCTGTTAAGTCTATTATTTTACTTACGTATATTAACAATATCTGCTTAAATCATATTTGGCTATGATGGAACACGAATTTTATATAATAAAATCACAGAACACCGATTTGTAATTAACAAATGTCGATTGATATATTTAATTATCTTCGTATAAAATATTAGTGAAGTAGAAGGTAATGCATCCCACGTTACCGCATATCTTATAACATTGTTTCAATATCTAATATCTGTTTTTAATTGTAAAATAGTCGATAAACTAATGTTTCTGAGCCTTAAGATCAAAATCCGTTCGTCAAAAAATGATCTTAGAAAAAAAAAACTTACTATTGTTATAAATAACACATTCAATTGAACTAAACTATGCATGCCTATTTAAATATATTTACACATGGCTTGAATATATCGTATATATATACATACGAATTATTCATACCTTCAGTGTATAGGACGCAAGCAGATTTTGACATCAAATTTTGGGGTAAAAAAGTGCGTCTTATACACCGAAAAATACGGTACATTATATAGATGACATTAAGGTTTTGGAGGTGTCTAACTGTATCAAAGATGTCTGCAGAGTTACAGGGAGATTTAGATCATTTGATGCATTGGGCCAATACGTGGCAGATGATGTTTAGCTATCCAGAGTGTAAGGTAATGCATGTAGGTTTTCAAAATTCAAATTATTGTTACAATTTAAATGGGAATGCATTGAATACTGCGGTTGAGGAAAAAGATCTTTGTGTTGTGATAAAAATATCACTTAAGTCATCTAAACAGTGTATTGTAGCTAGCAATAGGGCTACTAGGATTTTGGGTAGCATCTATAGAAATATTGAATACAAGTCAAGGAATAATATTTTTTTACTGTATAGATCACTTGTAAGACCTCTTTTAGAGTAGTGTGTAGAGTTTTGGGCTCCCTTCTTCAAGAAGGACATTAAATTGTTGGAGAAGGTTCAGAGAAGAGCGACTAGGATGATACCTGGAATGGTGGGATTGTCCTATGTTAAGGGTATTGATAATATAGATCCATCAAATGTTTTTATGTTTAGCAGTGAAAACAATAGCACAAGGGGTCATAAATTGATATTTTGGCAACGTGGGAGTCATCTGTAGTTTAGACAGTATTTACTTCTCAAACAGGGTGGTTGGCTTTTGGAATGAACTGTCTTCAAGGGTGGTGGAGGCAGAAAATTTAACTGAGTTCAAGAAAAGATTGGATGAATACATGAGTAGTAAGGGGGTGGTTATAGTCGGGAGCTGGAAGTGACATCCTTGATGAGCTAATAAGCTTCTTTTTGTCCCTTTAAAAATTTATGAAATTGAATACCAAGTAGGGATCTTAAAATATCACCTATTTGATCAGAATTAGTTATCTCAACTTCTGAATACTGTTAAAAATGCTTGATTTATTTGTCACTTCTGGACATTCTGACTCGAAACATAAATCAGTGGCAGACACATTTGAAATTACTTAGGGATGTAAACGTGGGTGCCAAGGTCAAAAGGCCCAGAAAGTGGAGTAATAGTATTTTGGATCCAAAGGATGGTTTAATATGTATAATATTATATGTTGTAAAGTTAATGTTTTTAAGTAGATATTTTTCTGTAGTTAATGAGAGCCTTGTGACTTGCAACTTTTAAAGGTAGATCCAAACTTTTTTATGGTATAAGCAAATTATTGGGTGGGGGAGGCAGTTGTATCTCGTGGTGTTTGCCGTCCATAAGAGTACTTTAATACAAAAGTATCAAACTGTTATTATCTAACTAGTGAAAAGGGCAACATGGATAAGCCACATTTTTTTTTAAAGTAGGCAAAGTGATTAAAATTTAGTTCTATGTTTTCTAGAAAGTGATTGAAAATCAGTAGTTGTTAGTCAAACCTTTGTGGAAAGAAAGGTTTGACTAAATGAAAGTCTGTCAGGGAAACCTTAACCTTGATTTTTAATTTTGTTGACAGTGCAGTTGATCATATATATTTTAATTTTATTTCTGAACTTGCAGTAACACTGAATTTTCTTCAGTTTCTCATTGAATGATAGAGTAGATTTGTTTTTGTTAACAATTTGTAGGATTAAGTATTTATCCACATAGTCATAAAATTATGTGTAGGTGTACTAAAAATTGAAATAATTTTCTAGGGAAGGCATAGCTCAGCATTTCAAAGATAGAAGTCTAGAAGGTAAGGTAAAATATTTATTACTGACAGTTTTTTCATAAATATGACTATTTTCAAATGTATATATATTCTGGTGTATAAATGCTATTCACAGTAAAAATTTTGTATACTAATTTTTTTGAGGTAAAGAAGGTTTAAAATGATTGAGAGGAGGACAAATACCAAGCAAGTTATTTGGGTTTGATAATGAACATTATTAAAAGATGAGTTTTTTTATAATTATTTTCAGTTTTCTGTTCTCTTCCCTATTTGTGAACATCTTTTGAACTACTGATGCTTGTATCTTCTGTAAAGAATATAATACTTGGTATTGGAGAAAGCTAGAATGAATCAGTATTTTGCTATAATATTGTGTTCTTTAAATTTATAAACTTGCAAAACAAAAAGAAAAGTTAATTTTTTCTGTTTCTGAAGACTGAATTTCACAGCTTTTCTGAAAAAGTTTTAAAATTATTTAAACAAATATATTTTTTTATATCATAATTTTTCAATTTCTAGGTGAACAAGTCTTAAGTAATCTAGGATTGTTTTAACTAAAATTGTTCTTTAAAGTTTTGATTGAAATATTATAACCTTGAGTAAATTATGTTTTTAAATTTAATTTTCAACATGTTTGGTATGCATTTAATTGGTTGGGTAATTTTGTGACTTTCATTTGTATATTAGAACATTACCATACATAAGTTGGATTGTCTTTGTGGTCCAAGATATTATCCATAAATCTGTGATGCAGATAGCCATTGGCTTGTTATTAATAGGGAAATACTTATTTTATTTTAATTCTAGATATCAGAGAACACTACATAGACATGTATGTTTATGGAAATATTGGGGAAGGTAAGATTAGTGTCTCTTGAAAAGGTAACTGAAAAAATATAACATTGATGTATCAGGTTTCAAATAAAATAAAAGGCTTGTAGTCAACATAATAAGTAATTCAAAAGCTTGAAGAGCTGGCTTAAAAAAGTTATTAACATTTTTTTTGAATGTTAGAGTACTTTTTTGCTAATAAAATAATTCATTAAACTATCAACTGCATATTTTAATGTTACAATCAAATTTGAAAGTTTTGATACTACTATATTATAAAGGACTTAGTAATTTATATTAATACAATTTTACACATTTGAATCAGTGAGCTATGTGATAACCATAGCTGATATAATGTTGCTGTCGAATGGCATGTGCTTAGAACTACATTTTGACATTGTATGGCATTTCATAAGTAGTTTAATACCACTGAAAATTGATAACTTTTTGGAAGAGTATGTATGTATAGCTCTTTCCAGTGCAAAATATTCATACACTCAGAAACATAATATGCTCGGGTTGAGGATTTAGAATTTCAAAGGAGATATTCCTTGTACTTAGTGACACTGAAAAACAAAGGAATATAGATCAACTTGGTGAACCAGGATGATTCAAAAAAAGACTTGCAACAAGTTATACTCCCAACAGTGGTAAGCAGAGTGTTATGACTTATAACAGGTGAAGATCCACAAGCATGAATTTAGCAAAAGCTACCTTTATGTGCCCCAGGCAACAATATGGAACATAATCAAAAAGGATTTCTGTCTGGAAAAATGACATAAGTCATGTGCTCAAGTTGCTTTCGTGACATATCTGGGAAAGAAAAGACTGTATGGATGGTACCTAGCTAGAGATTAAAATGGGAATATGTTATGACACTCATGAAGTATATGAAAAACTTAATAACTGTAACAAACCTCATGCTTTTTCTGCTGTTCATTGATATAAGGTATGTTGCAAAACTTTTTTGAAGGGAATTATAATCATCACTGGATACAGGCTTTGTATGGAAATGAGGCCAAGATGATGCTTCCAGTCATACCTCAAGAATGAAATAGGTATTCATGCTATTCCATATGAAGATATATCAGTCAAGTTGCCAGATGCACTGTCTGTGGATTTCTATATAATGGGTTGTTAAAATAAGTGCTTGGAAACCATCATCCAGATATACTAGATGGATAGTTGGAGGGAGGATTGCTGTACTTTGGACATGAAGCCTTATGATGGAGCCCTCTGCAATGGAACTTACAGTGTAAGTTGCATGGTTGTCAGACAGAGCATGACTGGACCTGAGAATATGGACTCTAATGACATGGTGAGGCTCCAAAGTCTATTTCATATAACAACCTTCTGTCTGAGGGTTGACACCACTAAAAACACGGTTTCAATATTGTGGAGAACACAGCACAGATAGCCCATTGCACAGCTTGAGCTTAACAATAAACAAACTCAACCCTTTGCACTTGAACTGTTGTCAGTTAGCTAAGTGGCTAATTAAGATGTAACTGCAGAATGACATGATCATGAATCTAGTAAGTATTTATTCTGTACTAGAGCAGATCTTAGTTAAAAGAAGTATGTATGAATATTAACATTTTTTAACAATTTACAATCCCATTTTTAATGTACTAATAAAAGGTTTTATAGGTTAAGAGAAGTTAGAAATTAACAGATTTAATTTTGTTAAATATTAAACAAAATGTATAGTACATGGATATGATGATTATTGGTTTTAAGTGACAAAAGAATATATATTTAATACTTTTCTATGGTGTTGAAGTAAAATATTTGCAATACCATTGGTTTCATAGCATCCTGGCCACTCCAGACTCTTCATACAGTTACAGACCAAACATTCTCAAGCAATGGTAAGAAGACATTTAAATATCCTGTGTTAAAATTAAACAAATTATAGGCCAGTAGTATATGAAAGTAGATTAGATACATAATCTGTAACTTTTAGTAAAAATGTTTAATCCTAGTTTTGTTTCTATTTTTTGCTTTCTTACAATCTCAAAATTACAATCAACCACCTTGTATGTTAACTTAAAAATATTTATCCTTCCAAAACTCTTTCAGAGAAATATTTGAAATGAATTAATTAAAAAGTGTGTATATCAGTCAAGTAAATGTTCAGGAAAGTTGAACGGAACTGTGTTAAAAATGAAGACCACAACCTCAGTAAAGGTTAATAACTTTCATTATAATAGTTTAGGAAGACTTTGGATTAGCTTATATTTCTAAGCCAAAATGTGAAAGCACACTTTTGAGTTAAATGTCATCTGTAGCCATTAAAAGTCATGTTGCATTGGATGTCTATGTTCTTACATATTTGCTTTGATCTAATTGGATCCATGAAAGATTTCACGGGATCCTTCATGTTATAGAGCACTTGTTTAATAGTGTATTTTAAATGTTTTTCAAAATTATCAAAAGAAAAGATATCAGTTTAGTTTGTAAACCTGTAAACATATGTAAAATTTTTTTCTTCATTTGCTGTGGTTTAGGGTAAATGAATTTCTTTATTTATCAGATGAGATTTTGCTACCTCCAGAGGAACTTACCCCACAAGAGCAGAAGGAATTAGGATATTTACCAAAGAGAGATGATTTTGAATGGGTGAGATATGAACCAGTTTTAAACATGGATTACTAACTTGTCCAAATAGTATACTGTTACCAAACTTAATCCTAAAATTACTTTTGGGGTCCCAGACACCCATTGGTGTTTTAAATACATTTTTGTAAACTAGTAAACATAATATTTAAGAACAACAAATGACTCATTAGGCTTTTCCATCCACTAATTAAAATAAAATAAACTTCAAATATTTATCAACCATTCCCTTAAATTTATACATCCATCACATCTGAAGGAAGCCCATCCTACAGGCCAATCACCATGCTAGAAAATTATAAACTGTCTTAGCTCAAGATTACTCCTACCCTGCCACAATTTATACTTGTCCTCTTGATCAACCATTATCACCATTAAGGATGAAAAAATATGATGCATCAACACTATCAATTCCCATAACAGTATCCACCCCCTAAACTGTTATCACCAACGTCTGATTTACTGCAAACTGCTAAAATTGTCAATTGATTATATACGCTTTCCCGCCCTTTTGTATAAAGAGTTCCACTCTTGGGAGGCACTTGTTCGTACACCCCAAGCAACCGTAGAAGCTAATAGCCATGGCAGAGTGACGTCCTTCAACTTCTCTTATTGGTTTGAAGTGTAAACTTTCTCCCTTGCTAACATTGACGAAAATTACTAATATGTTAGATGAATATAGTGATGAAGAAAAACTCTTTGGATGATTCTGACCCAGAATTCATTGCTCAGGAGGAGGTAGAAGAGAGTAATGTGGAGTTGTTAAATAAGAGTGGGGAAAGTACAGCTGGTGTGGATGCTGGAGCCTCTGGTGTTGTCATGGGCAGCCCCAAGAGATATGACCCAGCCACTCCTCAGCCAGAAGAATGCTTTGTTTGGCATGAGGGCAGTGATTTTGTGCCACATTATTATGTTTCCAATAATCCTGTTGGTGTCTAGAACAATGTACAAATAACTGAAGAAGATTCTGAGTTGAATTAATTCCACCTATTATTTGGCAAAACTCTTGTGAACCATATTGTAAGTGAAGAGAACAAGTACTATCAGTTATGGAAAGGCACTTTTATAAGTAAATCTTATACCTTCTTGGCTTTGATTATGCTTATGCTACATGCCAAGAAAGAGAACATCCAAGATTATTGGAAAAGAGACGTTCTGATAAATGTGAATGTGTTTAATAAATATATGGCATGTGATTGATTTCTGCTTCTTCTTCACTTTCTGCACCTGGCAAACAATGAGAACATTGATGTTAGTGACCAACTGTATAAAAGGAGGTACATTTTCACATTCATCAGAAACAAGTGACCAAAATTTTCATGTCTTTTCAGAATCTAATCATAGATGAATCTCTTATTTTATTCAAAGGCTGTATCAGTTTCAAGCAATACATTCCCAGTAAATGACATTGTTTTGGCCTAAAGTTGTTTGTGCTTTGTGACCACAAACATTCTACAGAAAGATCTACTTGGACTGTCAGTTGCTATGGTCAAGACAGTGATGAACAAGTTTTGGGGACAAGGTCATATCTTGTGTCTAAACAGTTGGTAAATGTCACCTTTTCTCTGCCAATATTCCTTTACTACAACACTGGTGTTTTTAGTATAGTGTGGGCAAATCGAAAATTTTTGCGAGACTTCTCTGCACATATTTGGCCTGGAGAGTGCTAACTGCAGAAGACAGACAGCAGGCTGGCAGTAAAATGGTATGACAAGAGACCTTCATATGTTGACAACAGTGCATGAAGGAAAAATGGTAGACAGTGGAAAAGTTCACTTCCGCACTAATGAGAAGATTATGATGCCAGATGCGGTGATTGATTATACACAGAACATGTGGCTGGTAGACAAGTCAAACATGCTGATAGGATCAGTGGGAAGTGTACATAAGTGCATCAAATGGTACAAAAATTTTGTTTTCCATTTGGTGGATGTCTCCATGCTTAATGCATATAACTTGTACCTAATGAAAATAGAAAAAAATATATCTTTACATGAATTCAGTTACAACATGGTGTACTTGCTCCTAGAATGTTATGGGACTACTGTGGCTGCCCACCATGGTCGTAGAAGATCCATGTAGGCTTGAAAGACAGGCTCTGTGGTACGAACGTGATCAGTCGTCAATATGTAGTATAGTTGTGAGCTACTGCATTCAGGAACAGTGCACAGTGTGAGGTCTGCATGCACACTGTCCTTTGCCAGTCAAAAGAGAGAGCTCACTATATACATGTTTAAGGAATGTGAAATGCCACTGTGTGTTTGAGAATGTTTTAAGGATTATCACACCATAAAAAAATACTGAAAACATTGCAAAGTGAAGTAATGAAAGTATAAATAGTGTATAATAAACTGTAAATTATATATAAAAATATAAACTCCTAAGTAAAATTTATTCTATCAAAGTGTTTATGTTTTTTGGTAGTGTTTTCATGGAAACAAATGCTTATAAAATGCAAAAAAACTAAGTATAGTATAAATTATAGTATTCCACTGTTTCCCAGAACATTATAAAAGTAAAAAAAGCAATAAACATCCTGCTATGATATGTAACCTCCATGCTGTGGAAGCAACTCTGTGAGCATGCCAGCATGACTACAACATGAATAGCCCGTTTATATTGTTTGTTTTTATTGTTTTTTCATGTATATTTACATTTCTGTAAGGTAAATTAATACAATTTTAACCTTGGTTTTTTGTGCACCCTGTGGTAGCTAGAAATATTTGATAAGCAGTTTAAGGATTAAACATTTCAATCAAATCCCACCTAACTCGTATTTTCTCAAGAGAAAACAACTTCAGAGATCTTAGCTTGTCCTCGTATGGCAATCTTTTTCCTCCAGGTACCATCTTAGTTGCCCTCTTCTAAACCCTGTCGAACAATTCAGTGTTCTTTCTAAGGTAAAGAGGCCAAAACTAAGTGGTTACTTGTATTACTGTATTCATTATTTCTATATATACAACCTGAAATTGTATTTGCCCCACCATTAGCAATAGCACACTGCTTGGATGGCTTAAGAAACCAATCAATCAAAACACCAAGATATTTTCTTTTCTATAACATTTAAGGTTACTCCTATCAGAATTGTACTTGTAATTCAAGTTATGACAACCCACATGCATTACCTTGCAGTTATTATAATCAGTAACCTCTTGAAGTTGTGTGTGTGTCTATAAATTTGTTGGTTGCAGGGTCCCTAATAACATATTAAAAAAAATTAAATAAAAATGCTTTCAACATTGCAATTAATCCTACTAATTACTGCAGGAATTCCCATTCCACTGTATATATATATTTATATTGTATATACATATATATAAAAACGGGTGATTTTTCACTGCATTGTTTTTGGTCAGTATTTTTACACTGAGTGTTTGTAACAGACAAAAGCATAAAAATCACTGAACATAATGCAGTATGTGGATTCTACTGATAGTGAACTGTATAAAATGAGTCATTAATTTGAGGGGTAGTGTGAAGCAAGTTATAGATAATAACAGTGTGAAAAGCTATCCGTGCTATTATAAGTTGTAAATCACTTGGGGAACATGCAGCTCACGTTATGCTATTGAATTACATTGTTCACGAGCTGCTTGTGTGTGTGCCTCATGAACTATTTTAATTATATTATTATTATTACTTATTTTACCTGATCTACTCTTAAATAACTTTAAAAGATTTGTATTTTTAGATTTTAGTTACTTTTATAATAATAAATAAAGAGTAAATATGAAGAACAACAAATAAAGTACTTACCCAATCTTCATTTTTCTTGCTCTTGGGTTTTTGAAGAGAGTTAACCCTAATTTTTTATACTATAGGTAGTAATGCACTTAATTTTTATCTAATTAAATAATACACCAAAGAATGTAGACTAATAATATTCAGAAAGTAGACAAATGCACGTATCTCTCAACATTTTCCTGGCTTTCTAACTATGCGACAAGAGCCATTACAAATTCATCCAAGCTAGTCATTAACTTTTCCATGGGAATGAATCTTGAACTATGAAGGAAATTGACGATCTTCTGTTCAGAACACAATGTTATATATGTCATTTGGTAGATGAAAACCTTTACTTTCTATTGGTAATATATAATGAAACATAAAAGAGAACTATCAATGAATGGGGAAACAGAGGATGTGACAGGTGGGTGTGGTAGGAGGGGTCTGATTTTGTAATCGATAACTCTGTAACCAAACAAAATTGAAGGCTATAAAAATTATGGTTTGTTTGAGCAATAACGATTTTATATAGAATATTTGGCATTTAATTTCGTACTTTTTTGAGGGGTGGTGAATAAAATAAGGATGATGACATGCTAAGAGAATATGTGTCATGTGGGTCACACTAGTGGAAATTCAGGATTTTTTTTAATATTGCATTGTAGAATTATGAACTTAAAACTTGTATACTATTAAAATATGGATTACTAGCTAAGATTTTATGCTATTCTAATTGGTATAACATAAACAAAAAGTAGTTTAATAAAATTTTGAATGTTAGACACTAAAACCTTGTGTCATGTGCAGTAAGGGGTACCTTGGGCAATAGTTTTAACTTTATAAGACAATAATATTGATACAGAATTGAAATACTTTGGCTGATTTTAATTCATGTGCAAACATGTATTCTTTTAAATAGTAGAAGTATCTTTTTGATTACAATATATCTAAAACAATCCTACTTCTGGGCTAACTACACATTTGTTAACAAATAAATATAACTTGAACTTGTATGTTTTGCATTATTCCTGTATTTAAAGTGATAACTCAAAACTTTTATTTGATAATATTTTTAAGTACACTATTTCATCTTAAGCACAGAAATGTTGATTTAATAGAATTTAAAATTTATTCTTGGTATTTTGTGGCACGGCTTTGTTTTTTATATATACTTACATGAAGATGACATTATTCTTGAAAAATTATAGAAGTAGTTCAAGGTTTTTGTAAATACTTCAAGCTCTGCAACATTACAGTACAGTAAGCTATATGAGTTGTAAACCTTTCTTGAACAAGTCAGTATGGTAAGAACAATTGTGAATCTGTAAAATTGTTATTAATAAGAAATTATTGTATGTAAGCATTTCTAATTTCTTTATCTTGGATAGTAAAGAAAGCACTGATACTTCCATTTCATTCATAGAATATTAATTCAAATAGAAACAAACCAGGTACTTTCAAACTTTTCACTAAGGTGTTACCTTTGGAAGAATGATCAAGAATCGTAGTGGTTTGAATAACCATTATTTTTGGTTTAGTAATATAGCTTTTAAAGATTTGAATGCTTTACCAGTTGAAGCTGTGACAACTCAGTGAGTGATTTGCCGAATTTAAACTTGCAAAAGATTCCTTTATTTAAGTAGCTAGTAGCCATAGTAAAACAAATGTTGTGTATTGGGTGACATAAGAATGCCGGCCTTTCTTTTTTCTTGAAGAGATATAGGTAAATTATTCATTCAAGTTTTAATTTCTGGTCATAGTCCCCCTGTGTTGTAATATTGCAAGCATTGTTTTGTTGTGTAAGATGTAATGGAAAATTCCTTTTTTGATTTGTGTTTTGAAAACATTAAGAATAAAAATTCCATTTGACTTGCAGTTAATTAAATTTTTTAAGTTTATCTTTTTATGAACTTAAGAGGTTTCTTAAAAAAAGACATCAACTTATATTCATGGTTATTTCATGTTTTGTAATTATTATTATTATTATTTTTTGGTTTTTCAGGATTATGACAATAGTGCAGAATCAGTAGCCTGTAATTTATGTATTCGTAAAGATGACGATGAAGTTGAAGTAGGTATGTATTGTAAGATGGTGAACTGATTTTTATCTTGCTCATTGTTTATTTTTTTATAGATACGATTAAATGCAGTCATGCAGGCTTGGTTGCTGGGACCAATCTTGTAACCATTTTGTGCTTATTATAGTTTTCGTGCTATAACTTTTAAATTAGTAAGTGAATTTTTAATGAAATTTGGCAGATTATCAGTAAACATTACAATGCGCATCTGAAGTATACTGCATGTATTAGTGACCACTTATTAATGAATAATAGATAGTTTTACCACTGTTATTAACTCCAAAATAGAAGCAAGGCAAATAACATAGTAAAAACTGAAATAACTACATTTACTGAAGATAATACTGTAGTGGTATTAGACAATAGTTTGTTAATGTAGTAAATCAAAAAAGGAATATGCATTATTAAAAAAGATGCGTTTATTTTTAAAGGAATTAGATCAGTGAGGAATATTTGGTTTTAGTAGTCACATAGACCATTCTGTAGTGCAATTATTATTGAAGATCTTCCAAATCTCCTTATATTTTGTTTTTAATCTGCAGTAATTTCAATGGTGGTGGCATTAAATTTCATTTGAGCCCTTTTTTAAATTTGTAAGTTGTGTTTAACAAATAGCAAATTTGTTTGGGCATACACCAGTTTGTTTGTTTTATTTTTGAATAGAAAAATATAAAATGTATAAAATGAGAGAAGGTAATTTACAACTAATTTACTATTAATTGCTACTAATTTTTATTTGTGATTTGTCCCCCAGGTAGCTCAGCAGTAGGTTTGTGAGCTTATAACACTAAATATTGGGGTTCATAGTGCAGATAGCCCATCCCATAGCTTTGCATTTATAAACAATTTATGTATTTTATATCTAAGTTGCATGGAAAATCTGTTTGATTAATTAATTGAAATTGATTTAGCAAGATTGTATTGTATGTGTAGCGACAGTTTCGTTGTATTTGTAAATAAATTTGAAATGTTAATAGTTTCTTAGTTAAATGGTTAACTTATAAAATCTGTATTCTGTTTCAGCTCTAACTTTAGCAATATTAGATGGATACAACCAAAGGCTACGAGAGAGATTAAGGAGAAAAAGAATAGCCAGAGAACACAGAATGTTTCAGGAATTTTTTTCTTCCAATAATTCGAAACCTAATAATCCTAAGAAAAGGTCATCTCATAAAGATGAGTAAGGAATCATTTATGTTTACTTTAGATCTTTTTTACTGATGTAGCAAAAAATATGTCTGTTTGGAGACTCCTAACTGGAAATTTATCTTGTTAAGTTAAGGATTCATGTATATCCATCTTTTTATGATAGTTTATTAAAATTCTCAGACTTTTTGGTTAATAGTTACTTTGTGAAATAAAATTAAGCAAAAAAAAACATCATCATTGAAAGTAACATTTGGTTGTTTTGTAATCTTGACAATATAATGTTTTCTTATATAAAGGAAACTTCAAGACAAACTGAAAGTATTTTGTCAATTCCAAACTGGTGCAGAAAATGACCAATTTTTTAAAAACATGCAGAGTAAGTTTGGGCAAATTTGATCATTTAATATTCTATGTGTATATGTATTGATACTATGAAAATGCTTGTTTTTTATCTTAACAAAGTGACAAAAATCAAATACTTGGAAACATCAGTTACTTGAATAGATATTAAACTTAATTACTATTGAATAATATGTGAATTTTTTTCTCTCATATGTGTTGTTCAGTAAATTACTGACTTGAATTCATATATATATGGCACACATCATGTGATTTATCTAGTTATTAAGTGTTTAAGAAGAAAAACATTAAAAAGAAGAGGTTGTTTGAAATACAGGGTTTCCAAGAATTTCAATAGCTCTGTAACCAAACAAAATTGAAGGCTATAAAAATTATAATTTGTTTGAGCAATGATGATTTTATAGAGAGTATTTGACATTTAATTTTGTACTTTTTTTGAGGGTGGTGGATAAAATAAAGATGATGACATTCTAAGAGAATATGTGTCACATGGGTCACACTAGTGGAAATTCAGGATTTTTTTAAATATTGCCTTGTAGGATTAAGAACTTAAAACTTGTAAACTATTAAAATATGAATTATTAGCTAAGATTTTATGCTATTCTAATTGGTATAATGTAACAAAAAGTAGTTTAATAAAATTTTGAACGTAAGACACTAAAACCTTGTGTCATGTGCAGTAAAGTGTATCCAGGGCGACAGAGTTGAGAAAATTTTAACTTTTAAAATGTTTATGAGCTAAGAATGCTTATGTGTAGAATATTACACTGATCTTAGATTTATAGAAATGAATGTGAATTTTGATTATTATATTCTCTGTTAGTGAATTCATACAGTGTGCTTCATTTGAACTGATTAAACTGTTTTGTGTTCTTATTCTTATTACTTCAGCTTTTGATAAAAGAAGTAAGTGCTTTTATTTGTTTTTGAAAGTTTTTTACAAATGCAAAAGTGTTTATCAGTGCTGTTTCTTACAATAACAAGGAGAAAAAGATCTGAAGAGGAGGATTGATCAGTTGATGAAGTATAGAAAATGTGGTTTGACTAAGCTTGATGGTATGTTGCTCATTCTCTTTCGTTTCATGAAGCTTTTATAATGTTCATATAGCTGTTACACTTGTATATATTATCGTTTTCCATACAACTGAGTGAAAGTGTGTATGTCGCAACCTTTTGTTGAGTTTCATTCAAAGCTTAATTAAATAACTATTATTAACAGATATCAGTAAACTTGATATTGAAACATAGTTTATATTTCAGATTTTTATATTATCTGTGTTTGAATATGTTAATTGCAAAAATAAATATTTTAAAAGAATTTTCAGTCTTCAATTCACTGTGTTATGTGACATGTCTGTGCTCTGAATTCTCCCTTATAGATGTTATTATCTTTCCTAATATGGCTCTCAGTGTCTAAAATATTAGTAACATAAACTATGCATCATTATAAGTACAAAACTAATATTTGAACCTCCTACCTTCTTGATTTGCTGAGATATCAGTACATTTGTCAAATCCACCACAGAAGCTCCTTTCCTCTTTGTCGTTTTACTCTTAGGTAATAGTCCTTAGAAGGCTAATTGACACATTTATAATCCAGGGTTGTAACTTCGATGGGTGGGGTCTCCCAGGACTTGTTCTGCTTGCCCAGCACTCCTGTGCAATGTGACTACTGCTGCCTAGCGCTAAATATCACTGACAAAAAGTTCATCATAAGCATGAAAATTTTCTGTGATGATGTTGCAGTACAGTTTACTTTGCAATTAGCTTGCTAGAAACAAACATTTTTTCTGAAAAGTCACAAAGCAAATAACCTTTGCACTCAAATACTGTTCAAAAAAGTCCTCAGGAAAAAATATGTATGCAAAACTGAACAAACAGCCCATGCCATGCTAATTCACTTGTACTTAGCATGGCACATCGGACATTATTATCCACAGTGGATACCATACAAAGCCTATTTTCTGTGTAATATGTAAAAATATTTTCACAATTTTAGGGATATCTAAAATATAAAAGTATATCAATGTGTATTTTACTTAAAACTTTTTTTGATCTCATTGTGACTAATTTGTATTAATTACCTTCTGTTAAAGATAGATCAATCAGAAAAATAAAATTCAGCCTAGAGTAAAATTTGCCTCTGCCTTTATGTTTTTAGACTCATTATTCACCTTATAACACATGTTTGCCTAGTGACTGCTCATGTGGAGTGTTTAATCAGACTTTCTGAAGGAATTTACAAATTTTCAACATCATTAACATTATAAACTTGAAAATAATAACCTTTTTTTTTTCCTGGCCGAGGGAGGTTTACGATGGAGGCAGCCACGGCCACGTGCATTTATGGGCTAGACTGGTTTTTACCACCCACCACTCAAATCATCCTAGCTACAGTCCTGTTATAACCAATAGAAAGAGCACTTTTTTTCTGTAGAAATATTAGGGAGTCATTATCTAGATTTCCCACGTAAGCTGCTAGTGAAAGTATGTGGTTTTAGCAATAATAGTTCTTTGCTCCAAGAACTTGTAGGTTTTAGTTAAGCCTATTTATAGCATAATTAGAAAGGTAGATAAGTTGTAATGCTTTTGGGATATCCTGTTCCAGTGATTGATAGATTTTTTGTGTTCTAAAATGCATATTTGAAAGCTACACAAATGTTTATTTGAACAGCTAAGTGAAAAACAAAAGTGAGGCCTTGCATTCTCTAAGGTTAAGCAGGTTATGCACTTTGCTCATGGTATTCTTGATAAAGAGTAATGGGTTCTTGATGTGATTTATTTCATTTGATAGAGAGGATTAAAAGGAAAATATGTGAAAAGGTTAACAGTTGAAATTGTGAGTATAAGAAAATTGTGACAGTCTTGCAAAATGATGCATTCAAAGAAGAAGAAAACAAGTTTTTCATTTTATTTCATATTTTTCAATATTTCACTTCACTATATATTGATGATTTCACTACCATTAGTGTTAGAGAAAATAACAGACAAATATAATGTTTTACCAAAAGAAAACTTGATAGGATATACATTTATGATATTCTAGAGGTTATGCAAATGAAATATGAAAATTTTAAGATGAAAAGAAATATTTTCTTTCCTATTGTGTAAATCTCCTTTCACTCGGACTGACTCAGTAACGACTTTGTAAATTCACAGACAAATCTTCAGTAGAATTATGTAATTTGTACTAAAAGCTTTTCCAAATTTTTGTAAAGAAATAGTTAATTCATAGCTAAAGTATTGTATAATCTAACACTTCCAAGATAGGTCAAATTGACCTACTTCTTATGGAAAGAATTAATACAGTTGACTTAATTAGCTTAGCAATTTTTGCATAAACAAATTTAGAAGTTGAGATTTTGTATAAGTCAAATAAGCATGAAGTTAATGGAGAACGATTTTCTCACATGACTTTTTTGTCAAAATGGAGGTGATATGTCACAAGTTTCAAACACTTAGTATGTTATGTATGTCCCCTACATAATATGTAGCCATAATCTAGACCAGGCCTCGACAAATATTTTCTGATCTAGGAGCCAGGTCCGATATAGAAAAGTTATAGAACATATTTTCAGTCAATTGTATGGTTATGGTACAAGACCTACAGTTTTAAACTAAAAACAAAGGGTTCATTTTTAAACTTTATTATATAACATATATTAAAGTTAAACTTCAGTATATGCAATTATTAAAATAGTAGACTAAGTAACTATAACTGAGGTGGATTCTTGCAGTGAATGAAAGTAAATAAAAATAATAACTGTGATATCTGTGGGCCAAGCAGGTTGTTTTAAAACAGGTCTAATCTACTTGTCACTACAATGATAAGCAAAATCTTTTTTGGTGTGCCTAACTTAACTTCTCTACTGTTTGTACCTGGAAATGGGGGCTATATTTATTTACTTTCACAGCAATGAGTGCATGTTAATGACAACATAACGTCAACAACCACTTGATAGTATTCCCTGAACTAACTGCCTTTGGTCTTATCTGAGTCTAAACATGTGAATTGATTGATTGAATTGCAAGAAAGAAGAAGAACAAAGTGGCACAAAATTATTAATGTGTTGTACAACTGCAGCACTTCATTTTTGAAAAAACCTTGAAGAAGTGTTAAATCTGACATTAAAATCCTAGAAACAAAGGTCGATTTCAGGCTCAAAGAACATGAAAAATAGTTCAGAACTTCCAAAGAGTCCAAAACTGTTCTAGATTTGACTTCTATTTAGCACATCCCTACACATGAATCAAATTGGAGAAAATACTAGGTGCCATGATGACATTTTTAGTTGCCATGGTGACCTGGCACCCAGGATTTGTTGAGGCCCAAGATAGACATTTTCTGTAATGTATCATAAAAAAAATTTAAAATTGTTAAATGCAACCAATTTGAAAAAATTGTTATATTGCTCAATACTGAAAATGCACTTTTAAATGTATTTGTGTAAAAAATAAAACAATCTACACCCCAAAATTGACTTAATTGTGAATGGTAATAATTATATCAAAAGCTTCATAATGTATATGTAAAATGTACATTTGGAATGGATAAGACTAGATACTAGTAAAGTGGATAAATTTATCTGGAAGAATAATTGTGCAAAGTAAGATTTATTATACTATTAATAGTACAGTGAATTGAGTAGCTTAAATAGGGGGCCGAGCCCAAGGCCAATACTTTCATAACCATTCTGAACATGCTGTATGATAACGGTAAACTAAGAAAAAGATAAGTTGGTACTGATCTTTAGAAAACTGACCAGCAAGTATAAAATAGATCTACAAGTACACATATATAAAGATATAATTCAATAGTAATCAATATTAAAGCATGTAGTGTACGTTATTGTGTACATGTATGTATATGTCATATTTCGACAGCAATTTCATTTTGAGCAATGTATATTTGTTACCTTTTACATTAGCTTGTGATCTTATCATGACAACAAGAAAAACTTTCACTTACAGAACAGTTCTATCTCTAAAATGTATAAATAGCTACAAATTAGTCTGATTTGTATTACGCAAGTTAAAATCATGCAAATTGTAATAACCTTGAAGGCATATATTTGCACATGTCAATTTCAGCAACATCTAAAATTCTGTATTGAGCTTATAACTTTAATGCTAAGACTTCACTAATGGAGCATATTGATGTATACGTGGTTGCAGACTGCTCTAGTTTGTGTTACATGACTCCAGATTTTGAAAAAAACAAGATAAATCTTACCTACACTTTGATGTCATCTTCCATGATTTCACTTGTTCATTGCACATCTATTCCACACTTCCCAATGCTTGCCAGGCATTATGGAATATTGTAATTGGCTAAATATTACTAACCTGAAGATTATAAGTACTGAAAGTGTGTAAGTTGCTGAAACATTGTTATAATATATTGAATAAATTTTATTTTAAAATAAATGTTCATTAATTGAAGCCAAATTCAAAAAATAAAAGGTTTTGGAACTTCTACAGGTTATATATATATATATATATATATGTTTTGTATGTAATGGATTATATCTCATTACTAGATTAAAAGAGTAGATATATTTGGTTGGTCTGAAACCATTATAGAAAAACCATGTCTGGTTTTCTTATAGAATATGTTTTTCTTTTCATTTATATGTTCAAATAACATTTTGTTCTGAACCATAAGTTTTGATGAAAAGTTGACATATTTCTTAATAACTATAGTTCTGATTTCGTTATATGATAATTAAATGATAAACTTCACTAAATATTTAATTTCTGAATATACTTGCCTGATAAAGGAATTTTCACAAGAAAACTTGTAGATATCATTTGAATTTGTAGAATTTACTCTTTAAGTTATTGGAAATTATATATTTTAATTAACATATCAGAAAGCATTAGTGAAGGTAATTATTTTAATACAGAATGTACAGAATTTGATACAATCAAGTGCATGAACAGCAAAAAGAAAGGAAATAATAACAAATTAGTAAGTATCAATTTTTTTTTTCTGTTAATCTAAGCAGGATAAGTATAAATTGTTAACCACGATAATTACACTTCTTGCAGTTTTATTTTATATAGTAGAGGTTCCCATCCACTAGTCAACAAAGCAATGGCAATTCACAGAAACTTCCACTGAGAAAAATAAAGGGGAAAAAAAGTAATCTGTAAGCATTTTATAAAGATTTGGTCAAACTGTGGAATGAAAAGTATGGGAACCACTGTTATATAGAATTGGTCTGAGATCTTTATTTATGAAACCAATGAAAAATAAAAATGGTGATCAGAGGATGTTTTGTAATAGTTTTAAGCTCGCTAAAAAAACAGTTGTTATACCTTTTTTGGCTTTGATGACATTCATTGATGGCAACAGAAATGTTTTCTGCTTTCACAGTATCTCACTTAAAATTAGTGACCTAAAGTGTTTTTAAATCTGATTGCCAGAAAAACATTTTAGGATTTTGTGAAATATCACATTAGACCCTGTTGGAGTTTTAAACAGTAATTTTTGTATATTGCTAAAATATTTTATTAAATTATTTAAGATGAAAAGTTTTGGTCAGGTTTTTGTATAACATTTTGCAAAATGAAAATATGTTTGTGAAATAAAACTACTTATATTTAATGATAATGTTCTGGTTTCTGTTCATTGTACTAATTCACTGTAATATGCTAACATTGGAGAACTTCTTGAGCAGAGAAAAAACTTAGATTGTATCAGTTTACCATTTATTCAGGGCAGTTCCAAAACCATGACACTCCGAAACTTTACAATGGTGTACGGAAGAGGAGGGTGAGTACAAGTTGTTATTTCGTGATAAAACTAGGCTTGAATTATGGTTTTATTTAAATTTTCTGTTGATAGAGCATTTTGTTCAACTACTAAGACTTTTTCCTTCTTTTTCAGTTACTTTAGCCTGAAACACAATTATAGGTTCACAAGAATATACATCTTAAAATAAACCTAATTCAAGTATTGATGCATTTATTAATAAACAGGTTCATTTAGATTTTAATATTTCTCGTGCTTGAAGTTTCTTGGGTAATGAAAAAGACTTAAGCCATTTAAGGATAATTTAGACCTTTTCTTATTGTTGTTCAACACTTACTTCACTATGAATAAACTTCAGGATGAGCATTAAAATTAGTTTAGGGGGAAGTAATTACAATCTAACCAGAACAGAAAGGTTTAATTCGTAGTATTCAAAGATGCAACTCTTGGTTATGTTAGTTTTACGATCACATGGCACTGAAGCTTAGAAATCACTGTTAGTTTTACTGTAATATTTTCTAAATATTCAGTTAGGTTTCACAAAAGGAGTGTAAGAGTTGTTTGTTTGATTCAGAACTCTAGTAAAGAATAGCATATATGAAAATAATGTTATAGAGAATCTGAAGTAACTTTTGTAGATATTCCTGGGTAGGCAGGCAAGATTTTTAATATTTATTGTAAAAATTTGGTATCCTGGGAATTGATATTTTAGCACTACATAATGCTTCTCTAGTTTATTTCATAAATAACAATTAAAAAAAAATGTTTGTACCTTTTGTCACGTCTAGTTTAAGCCATAAACATGGCACTTTTGTATTTTTATGTCTGTGGAAAACATTGTCTGCTCTTAATCCTATATTTATATCTAATCTTCCAGTCATATTTCAGCATCTTCAGTTAGCATGACATTCATTTTATTTTTGTCTGTGTTCTGTTCGTTCAAATTTGAATGTATTTGTTGAACAAATGTATTTCACAGCCCAGAGGGATGTTGATAACTTTGACTGGTTCTTAGGTTTGAAAAAATGATTGGCCGAAAGCTAATCATTGTCAAAAAGGGGAGATGCTAAGCTTTAATGCCGAGTAATCCTACATATAACACTATGTGTAAATTATGAGGTTGGGGATGCAGTCCAGATGAATGAAGCAACCTCAACTTAAAGTTTTTTAATATACTTAAATACTTCCCAATTAATTTGAAAACTGGGAATTTTTTATAGTTTCTGATTGTATAAGTTTCATTCCTGATAAAATATTTGTGTTTACCATATTTTTTGGAATATAAGATTCACCTTTATTTTGAAGACAAAGTTTTGTGGGAAAAAAGCTACAGTCGCATTTGAAAGATTTTTTTATTGAAAAAAACTTCAATTTGATACTTTAAAAATTATATATATATATATATTGCTCTAAACACAAAAGAGCTCAAAACATCAAAATAAGAAAATACCGTAAATCAAGAAAAGGTTTACTGTTATTTACTTTGGTTCAAAACCTAGAAAATCTTCATTGCTCTCACTGTAATTTATTTTTTTATTTTTTAGGGAGCATTATAAATAGTTATGTTTTTAAAAGGGCAAACTTCATTCCAGAATCAATATCATTAATGTAAATCACAAACAGCAGAGGACCCAGCACAGAGCCCTGAGGAACACTGCTTGTAACTGTGATCCAGTCAGATCTAACTCCATTTATTACTATTCTCTGCTTTCTACTCTCCAGCCAATTTTCTATCCAATTTAATAACATTTCCTCCACACCCACAAACTTGTTACTTTTTGTAAAAAGTCTTTTGTGAAGCACCTTTTCAAATGCTTTCTGAAAATCAAGGTAAACCAAATCCACAGTATTTCCTTCATAAACTCTTGCAATAACATCCTCCAAGAATGTCAAGATGATTTGTTAAACAAGATTTTCCCTTACTGAAACTATGCTGATTTTTTGACACTATATCTAACTGCTTTAAGTGACTCTGCAATGCATCTTTAATCACGCTCTCCAAAATCTTTTCAACTACTAATGTAAGACTAACTGTCCTATGAATTGCCTGGACAGTGTTTATCACCTCCTTTAAATATTGGACTAACATTAGCCAACTTCCAATCTTCTAATTCTCTTCCACTACAAGCTAGCGGTTCCCAAATAAAATCTTTAAGTTCCTTTAGAACTCCAGGATAAAAGTTGTCTGGTCAAGGGGATTTATAAATTTTTAGGTTTCCCAACTTTTCTCTTACAATTTCAGAACTTGAAATGATATCTTTTACATCAATATTTTTCCCATACATTAAGTGCTCTGGTTGAGGCATAATACTTTATCTTCCTTCATAAAAACTGAAAAAAACATATAATTTAATAGTTTACTATCTCATGTTCTTCCGAGATCAGTTCCCCACTATCATTTTTAAGAGGCTCAATCCCCATCCTAACATTTTGCTTATCCATCATGTACCTAAAAAATTCCTTACTGTTTGATTTAACTCTCTCAGCCAACCATCTTTCATATACAGTTTTAGCCCTTTTAATTTCCTTTTTAAACAGCTCTCTTGATTTCCTATAGTACTCCAATCTTTATTATTTCCAGTAAGTTTATATTTCTTGAATTTATTATGTTTATCCCTAATATGATCTCTTAAACCTTTACTAAACCATACTGACTGTCAGATTTTAAAAATAATATACACACACACACACAAGTTCTTCTTTTTGCCAATTGTTGAAATAAATGGCTTTTACTTACATTTCTTATTAGTATAAATATATACTATGTTGTTGTTGGGTTTAGGATTCTTCTACAGCAGGTGTCTATGACTTTTTAGTGATAAATTCAATGATGAATAAACAGCACACACTTTACTTGTTTTCAAATAATATATATTAATATGTATTCAGAACAAGTTAAACGTATGTACAACAAAGACTTCACACTGTGTAGATTACAGGCATATCATAAACACTATTTATATATAGTTCTCTTCTTCTTGTCAAAAGTCCACTACGGCCTATTCAATTACTTTAGAATTTCAGTTGACAAGTTGAACTATCTTCTCTATATTACTACACATGTATTCGGAACAAGTTAAACGTATGTACAACAAAGACTTCATACTATGTAGATTACAGGCATATCATAAACACTATTTATATACACTTCTCTTCTTCTTGTCAAAAGTCCACTTCGGCCTATTCAATTACTTTAGAATTTCAGTTGACAAGTTGAACTATCTTCTCTATATTACTATCATACTAGTATAGTTGTGGCGCAAGTTACCGTAATTCGTTTGGTCCTCTTTCTTCTGAAGATCCTCTGTTCCTTTTATCAAAGTGTACCCAGGCTGATTCAATTACTTTAGAGCCATGCTTTGACGGAATAAAATCATCCTTCTTATCTTTTTTTTATACTGTTAGTTTCACAACATATTAAATGTTAGTCCTATCACTTCTACGGTAGTTAGCTTCACGTTGACCATTTCCTTTTGTAACTTTTAATGATGAAAGTCTTCCGGATATATCCGGAAATCCGGATATTTCTAAAAAATCCTGAAAACCTCCGGTTTTCTTCCTGAGAAACACATTTTTTAAAATTATTTATCGGATTTTGGTGTTCCATGCCATAGATAAGCGTTTATGTAATCTCGCGGTTTGTTTACATTCGGCGACAGGGCGCCGCCATTTTGTAGTCTCGCAATGCTTGCTGGCATGTACGAGACCTTGTATGCTTATAATGAAAACTTCATGTCACGTGAACGAGATTGTATCTCGAAAATGTGCTTTAGAAAACGAGGTCATTCTTTTGTGTACCTTTCTATTGAGCGAGACAATTGAAGAGCCTTATCTATTCAAAGGTGTTTACCGAAGCGATAATAGATCAAATGAAATGTACAAACAAGTAGATAGGTCGGCGGATATCAGTAGCATAGAAGGAAAGGTAAAGAACAAGTTCCAATGGCCGTGGCTGGAGGAAAAGGATGTAAATGGTGACTTTTTATCAGACTTTGTGAGGAAAGTGGACAGGCCAGGATATGCACTATGCACATGGTTAGTAAATTTTACTTTATAGATCTATTAAAGTTTATAATCATTTCTTGTACTGGAGTTTTAGAAAATCGTTAATAATTTCTTAATTATCACTCAATGACGTGACTGATCAAGACGGCAAATCAAAGGATCAGTATTTAAGAGAAGTCTCAAGAATACAGACAGATCCAACCCTACCTGGGATAAATGACAACACCCGACTGGATCACTGGTGGAGAGGTTATGCCTTGCTATCCAGCTCTTGGGAAGGTTGTAAGAGCTTGTTTTAGTATTTTCACTGGACCCAAAATAGAACAGTCATTTAGCGTTATGAATGACCTCATTGATGCTAAATCAAACAGGATGGCTGTGCAGACATATTCTTCATTTCAGAGCGTGAAATATGATTTAAAAGCACAGAACACTAGCAGCCTTGGTCATTACAATAGGGAGGATGTCCTAAGGGATCCTGTGGACAAGAGTGTGTGCTACCACATGCAGACAGCCTATGGCAGATATGCTAAAAAACTGAGGGAGAGGAAAGAAGAAAAAGCACTGCCAAATCCAGCTTATTCTAAACATGGATCAAAACAATCAGTGCACACAATTGCTAAAAACATCAAAAAAGCAATATGGTCAAAGAGGGGAGCTGGCAAAAGAAAACAAAAC